TTCATGTGTAAAAGCAACAAAAAGGCGAAACATCCAAGGGAGTGAATACTTTTTATAGGCATTGTATGTACTGGGTTCACTTTAACACAGGGGTGTGGATTTGCTACTTATTCCCTCGGGGTCATTGTGTGTCAAGACACTGAGGAAGCAAAGTGTTCCGATACACACACGGGCTTTTTACGTATTTCATGTACTATCTCAGTCCATATTCATCAAAGGCTTTTTATTCTTAACCACCCACTTCAGTTCCTGACATTAATTTTTTTGTGCCATATTCCAAGAGCAGCAGTGGATTTTCTCCTTTCTATTATATTATAATAATTATTACTCCTTTCCAAAACTGCCAATTAGAAGAAATATGTCAATTTCAAACAGGCATTTTAAAAGTCTCCTCAACAACAAAAGAGAACAAATCTTACAGATTTATGCCTGCTGATAGTTTTAGCAATGAAGAAGTGCAAAGATGATGATGCAAAAGAGACAGGATCATTGATTTATGTATCAAATTCTGAGACTAGATATTAGACGTGACCTTTATACAGAAACGATATAATACAGCCAAACATTACTGCCCTCTTCTTCTCAGCAGGTACCTGGGTCCTACTGCACACTACCTCTCACCACAAGCAGTCCTGTTACACCTGAGGATCTATCTCACCTGTCACAGCTGGTAAAACTGATGGAGCTTCTTACAGTCAGGAAACCTCAGGAGTCAGTCTGTGTTAAACAAAACATTTTTCTCTTTCTTCCTTTCTGTGTGTGTGTGTAGAACCACAGTAATAGTGTCAGCATGGCAGTCCAGTGCAGACTAAGCCTGTTGACCTCCAGAGAAGTAAAGCTGACACTCAAAGGAAGACTTCAGCTTCCTGCTCTGCTTGCCGTGAGTCATGAAATGTGTTTTTAGTTAGGTTTTTATAAAATGAAAAATGAAGAAGAATGTCAAAGAAAGGAGGACAGAGTGTCTTGGAAATTAACTCACTGACAACCACCTGACTTTCAGGTAAGCTTCAGGTCTCTGGAGTTGCTGACTGCTGCCTCTATCTATTTGGAAGCGTCGAATCCCATGTTTCTCAAGGAGGACAGACCTGTCAGACAGGTAACACTCTGCTCTTAACGATAACTGACTGATATATGAATACATTAATGACTGATCTAAGTGAATGTCTGGCAGAGTTTGTTATGGCTGGATAACATTTGTCAACATTCAAGTTAACAGCACCGCAAACTGCAGCGTCCAAAAAAAATCATACAGCTGAATCAGCATCTCTTGAAAACAGTTTTCCTTTCTCTTTTCAAATTTCCCTTTTCTCGTTATGCATTAAACCAGGGGTGTCCAATCCTGGTCCTCGAGGGCCCCTATCCAGCTTGTTTTAGATGTTTCCCTCTTCCAACACACCTGATTCAAATGACCAGCTCATCATCAAGCTCTGCAGAAGCCTGATAACGATCCTGATCATTTGAATCAGGTGTGTTGGAAGAGGGACACATCTAAAACATGCAGGACTGTGGTCCTCGAGGACCAGGATTGGACACCCCTGCATTAAACTATGTTTGTTTTAGCTCAATAGGATGGTCAGGGTTGCACCAAAACTACACCACAACAAACCTGCTGCAATCATACAACTGATAATAACAGAAGAGATACTGAGAAATATGACTCATCAATTAAATTAGTAGATAAGTCAATATCTCAAATGTACATTGAATACTGATATTGATTCGTCAAAAACAACAACAACAAAAAACAAACTAATTTGCCAAATGGTTTAAATTAAATTTAACTAAATGATTTTGATGCTTTGTTATTTACCAGCTGCATACTACCTATCCTCCCAATAGACACACTATAGCAGGGGTGCCCAATCCTGGTCCTCGAGAGCCCCTATCCTGCATGTTTTAGATGTTTCTCTCTTCCAACACACCTGATTGACATAATCAGGATCGTTATCAGGCTTCTGCAGAGCTTGATGATGAGCTGATCATTTGAATCAGATGTGTTGGAAGAGGGAAACATCTAAAACATGCTGGATAGGGGCTCTCGAGGACCAGGATTCGACACCCCTGCACTATAGTCATGTTCATAAACCATGCTTGCTATAGAACTGTCCTGCCATCTGCTGTCAGAACCTATTATCACACTTAGTGGTTTGTTAAAGTTCCTATACAAACAACAGGTTTTCTTTGAACCATTCACCAGTCATGTGCAAAACAGCAGAAGCACACATCTTAATTAGTAAAAAATGTTAAAGACCTGAAAAAACAAATCGGTAACAAGTTGAGAAAGTCACATGAAGCCATTTCAAAGCAGCTACAGATCCCCAAATCATCTGTGCAAGAAAACACAAGCTATCACTACTGCTGAGAGACAATTGGTCCAGAGGCAAAAAGCAGGTCTGCAATGGATTAGAAGCTGCTGGAGCACAGATGTCAATGTTCACAGTGAAGTGTCTTTTTTTTATAGCCATAAGCTGAGAGGCTGTCATGCAAGAAGAAAGTCCTTAAAGCTACAGTTTGCTGGCGATCACATGGAAAAAGAAAGGGCCTTCTGGAGGAGAGTTCTGTGGTAGGATGAAGCAAAAATTTAGCCATTTGGCCACAGTGACCAGAAAAAAAAATGTTTGGAGGAGGGAAGGTGAGGTGAGGCCCTTTTAACCCCAAAAGCAACAAACCTACCATCAAAAGTTTGGTGGTGGTGGTATTATGCTCTGGGGCTGTTTTGATGCCAGTAGAGCTTGTGCTTTACAAAAAGTAAATGGAATAATGAGGAAGATTACCTTCACATTCAGAAAAACCCCAAATCATCAGCCAGATGGATTGAACTTGGATGAAGTTGAGTGTTCCAGCAAGACAATGACCCCAAACACACACAAAGAAATGACTAAATCAGGCCAGAACTAGGGTTTACACAATCCTCAGAAGTCAGAAGTTTACATACACTAAGATTACTATGACTTCAAACTATTTGGAAAAGCCCAAATGATGATGTCATGGCTTTGGAAGCTTTTGATAGGTTAACTGACAACATTTGAGTTAATTGGAGGCACACCTGTGGATGTATTTTAAGGCACACCTCAAACACACTGCTTCCTTTTGTGACAACATGGAAAATCTAAAGAAATCAGCCAAGATATCAGGAAGAGAATTGTGGACCTCCGCAAGTCTGGTTCATCCTTGGGTACAATTTCCAGATGCCTGAAGGTTCCACGTTCATCTGTTCAAATGATTATACACAAGTATAAACACCATGGGAATGTCCAGCCATCATACCACTCAGGAAGGAGACGGGTTCTGTGTCCCAGAGATGAACATGTTTTGATGCGAAATGTACGTACCAACCCCAGAACGAAGCAAAAGACCTTGTGAAGATGCTGCTGAAGCTGGTAAGAGAGTGTCATTATCCACAGTGAAACCAGTCCTGTACCGACACGGGCTGAAAGACTACTCAGAGAGAAAGAAGCCATTACTCCAAAAGCAACATAAAAAAGCCAGATTACAGTTTGCAAATGCACACATGGAAAAAGACCTTCATTTTTGGAGACATGTCCTGTGGTCTGATGAAACTAAAATTGAACCGTTTGGCCTTACGGACCATTGTTACATTTGGAGGACAAAGGGGGAAGCTTGTAAGCCTGAGAACACCATCCCAAATGTGAAGTACGAGGGTGGCAGCATCATGTTGTGGGGGTGTTTTGCTGCAGGAGGGACTGGTGCACTTCACAAAATAGATGGCATCATGAGGAAAGAACATCATGTGGAAATAGTGAAGCAATATTTCAATAACCCCAACCCAAATGAACAATGACTCTAAGCATTCTGCCAAATTACTCACAAAGTGGCTAAAGGACAACAAAGTCAATGTTTGGAGTGGCCATCACAAAGCCTTGGTCTCAATCCTGTAGAAAGTGTGTTGGCAGACCTGAAAAGACATGTGTGAGCAAGATGGCGAACAAACCTGGCTCAGTTACACCACTACTGTCACGAAGAATGGACTACAATATCAGCAAACTATTGTGAGAAGCTTGTGGAAGGAAACCCAAAATATTTGACCAAAGTCATACAGTTTAAAGGCAATGCTACCAAATACTAAGGAAATGTATAGAAACTTCTTATTTTAAAGAAAGTGATTTTTTAAAAAAACCTCTCTTTCTCATTATTCTGGCATTTACCAAATAGGAATAATTTTGGTAATCCTTACTGACTTCAAATAGAAAAAGTTTAGTCTGATTTAATGTCAGTTAGGGAAAAAAAAAGGGTTATATGTATTTGTATAGAGTGTATGTAAATTTTTGGTTTCAACTGTATAGTTTTGATCCAGCTAATTTTGCTAAATTTCCAGAAGACCTATGATAACTCTATGACAGAACCAAATGCATGATTGTTATTTTATGACAAAGAAGAATGGGTTTCAGTGCTTCCATCATAGAAAATTGCAAGGTATCATTGGAAAGCCAAGACTGCCATGATATACATGGTCTTTACAAGTGTATCTAAACATTTGTTCACAACTCTATGAAGTCAGTTATTTCCTCGTCCTTTAATAATTTATTTCAGCACATTAAAAACTTTGTGTTGTTAGACCATCAGTATCAGAGTACAATACATTATTTTTAGTCAGCAGGTGATGCAATGTTTATTGTGCTATACCTGCAGATAATCCTGGAACTAAGGAAGGAGGAGGATCAGTCCATCCCCATCTGGATTATACTGGGAAGCTCGCTAGGAGGCCTGTTGCTACTGGCCTTACTGGTACTGGCACTTTGGAAGGTATAAACACAACTTATCTAGTCAGAGGATTGATTTTTTCTGCCATTTATACGATCACCAAACTTCAAATGAACATTTTTTAAAATCATAAATCTGTGCCTGCTGTTTTGTCAGATCGGCTTCTTCAACAGACAAAGAAGGCAGAAAGAAGAGGAGCAGTCTGTAGCCACAAAGGAGGGAAGAGCTGTAGTGTGTGGGTGATATTAATGTTGCATTTGGTAGGTCCTCGTAAAATTGGAAAGTAATAACATTAAAAAAAGCTATCAGTAATTAACTGGCCAGCTATGTTTTACAGATATGACTCAATTAACTTAGAGAGACCCTCTTAAGTAATTGCGTCTACAGATTTAGGCTACATTCATTTTGGATTTATTGCACAGACTGTTTTTGTTTGTCTATTTACGTTAATTTTTTAGATGTGGCCAATATCAATTACAGCTTGAACTGGTCAGTCCTGAACAGCCCCGCATGCACATTAGACTAACAACATTACATCGCATCCATCGTACTAACATATAGAAGTAAACATGAAGGCTACAGAAGTCAGCATTTACAGTTTGGTTTAGAAAGTTACACGCAGTAGAAGCCAGCAATTTTGTGAGCAGATGCTATTGATAAGAAGAAAAAGAGACAATTATTAATTATGGCTTTTTGAGCCAGGAGTGCAGGCATCATGACATAAATTGCTTCACATTTCATCCCAAAATCCAACTTTTAACAACATGTCTCAGCACCTCTCCACAAAACTCTCGCAGCAAGACACTCAGTTGACATAATGTAGCATGAATTCCAATTCTAAGTGTTCAGGCTGTGTTGGCATTGCAAAATCTCTGACCAAATGCTGGCTTAGTGTCACAGATGGAAGGAACCTGGATAAGAACTGAGAAGATGGGCGCCCAGATAGCTCAATAGGTTGGGTGGGTGACCTATGAACAGAGGCTATAGTCCACGACGCAGAGGTCGTGGGTTCTGGTCCAGCCCATGAACATTTACTGCAGGTCCTTCCCCCACTCTAATCCCCATATTTCCTGTTTCTCTCTCCACTGTCAACTATCACAAAGGCTAAAAGAAAGTTCCTCTATCCCCACAAAAAATAAATACTTTTTTTTTTTTTTATAAAAGACCTGAAAAGATTGGCTTCTGTGTGATTTGTGGTGTTCTTAGTGGGCAGCCATGGCTCAGGTAGTGGTTTGGGTTGTTAACTAATTGTAAGGCTGGCAGTTCGATCCCCTCCATGTGAAGCCCAAGCTGCTCCAATTGGTGGGTGAGCACCTTACATGGCAGCTCTGCCACCACTGATGTGTGAATAGGGGAATGAGAAACACATTGTGAAGCTTTGTAGTACATAGCTCTGGTAAAAAAAGACCATTTGCCATTCTATGATGGAAAAACAGGTCCAAGCCATATGTGAGCAAAAAATTCCATTTTGGCCCACCTGCAGTTTAAATATAGCCAAGTAATGATCAGAACATGTCCACAGCCCATAATTACTAAAAAAAAAAACCTTTATTATATAACAGTAAATCAGCCGGCTAGATTCAGCTCCAGTCACTCCATCATAAAATTAACTGTTCATTATCACCAACTACAACCTCCAGAGTAATTTCATCTGTCAAAAAAGAGGCCAGTCAAAAAAGTCTAACAGACATGCTGATTAAAAATTAATTAACTGGTTAGTCAAATAATTGTTTGTCATTTTATAACCAAACTAGCAAATGTCTTCTACTTAAATGTATTTTTAGTCTGTTCTAATTTTTTTTGAGACAAAATGATCTCATTGAGAAAATAATCAGCATATTATTTAAAGTAACCATTAATAGTTGTCCCAATATTAATAATTTTTTTAAGTGTTCCATATAGCAAGCTGCTGTAACTCTGTTAGTGCTCAGTAGCTAACATGAAAAATGGCAGTAGCCATCAGGTGCCAACATATAAGATTATGTCTCCACCTCACGTGTGAAATAACTTTAACCCTTTATAGGGAACGCCTTGAAATACTTGGAAAATGAAAATTTCAACCCCAAGGTGTCATTGAAGGATATTTCAAGATATTTTTGCTCTTTTGTGACTTTAAAAAAAAATGTTGCAAATCAAGATTAATAAAGTTAACATATATGTAACTTGCCTGTTTACAGTTAAAAAGCAACAAAGTATTTATAAAGTGCTCGGCAAATTCATTTAGTAACATTTGGGGTAATGGTATTGGCACTAATCTCAAAAAATAAATAAAAGCGGAGTTCAATGCAAACCAGTAACAAAGCATTTATAAAGTTCCTGGAACATTTGTTTAGTGACATTTTTGTAAGGTAGTGATATCGGCACTAATATAAAAACTAAATCCAAGTGCACATGGTGCTTCAAGCTCAAGGAGAGGCACAGGGTGGACATACCGAATATCCAAAGAAGCTACCAAATATGGTCATTTGCCTCATAAAGGGTTAAGCCCAGCAGTCTAGGTCAGTAGCAGCTTATCTAATACATGGTCGAGGATCACCTGAGCCTGGCCTAACCAAAAAGAAAATATTGTGTTTCTCATTTACTTCTTAAGTGAAATCATCTCCTAACATTCTGCCTCATTTACCTATGTTTCAGGAAATGCCTGGGAATTTCTTCAAATTTGGCACAAATGTTTACTTGGACTCAAGGAGGGATTAAATAGATTATGGTCAAAGGTCACTGTGACCTCATGTTCAGCCTATTGTTGTGAATGCAGTATCTCAAACGCCTGGTTGAAATTCCATTTAACCTGGCATTGTCATCCACTTGGACTCGAGAACAAACTGACTACAATATGCCTAAGGTCAAAGGTGAAGGTCACTGTGACCTCACAAAACACTTTTTTTTGGCCATAACTGAAAAAAATCATAGGCTAATTATGACAGAACTTAACACAAATGTCTAATAGGATTATTGATAGTGATATTATATATCCAAGGTCTACTTTACTGTGGCATCATTCTGCAAAAACACTTTTTTATTGTTTAACGCTGTAACTCAAGAACACAAGGGGAGATTGTAACTATGTTTTCATTCATGGATGTACAGTTCAACCTGAGTAGTTTGCACAGGAAGACCTCCACAAGGCAGTAATTCTACATTGCAAATTAACCTCAACAACACCAAAGACGAGGCCTGACCTTCTCAGTTTCTGCCAAGTTTCATGTTTGGATGGAGAGAGATGGTGACGACATAGAAATGAGAAAAATCTCATTAAAATCATTTAGTTGTCTGGGTAATCAATGTGATTAGGAAATTTCATCATAAACTGTCTGTGGAAATCATTCTATGTACAAAGTTGGCATTGTATCCAGATGGTTGTGTTACAGTAAAACTTTTTGGGTGTCCAGAATGAAAGGTTTTATCCACTTGCAAAGCATGAATGCATTAAATTTAACCACAGTCCAGCAATATTTATTGTGTTGTAGTGGAACGAGGGAAACTCTTAAGGGGGTTGGCAAAATGCTAAAGATGGATTTTCTGGGAAACATGAACATCTACAGCAAAAGCTTGTAAATGAAATTAAACACAGAGTGGCTTACACAACTCAGCAGGACTACCAGAAAACTTTTTTTTCCCCAAGTACCAAATAAAGACACAGTAGCAGGAGGCCCAGTACTCAATTTAAATTACACCCATCATGAATAATGCGACGCTTAAATAGAATGACATCAGCAGATTGCACAATAAATACAAACAGTCATGTGGCAGTAAAATTAACTGACTGCATCAAAGTCTGCTGAGTAATGTTCCTATCAGCAATTCAGTTAAATTTAATTCAATTATTTGCATGATACCAATTCACAACATATGTTATATGTCAACTGAGAACCTAACAATCCAAAGTTTCCTTTGGATTCCCTATGAGCAAGCAGTCAGCAACACTGGGAAGAAACTAAACATACAAGGATAATACTTAGTAGCCATCTATGCAAGTGTCACTGACATCATTACCATGTGCCTGGTGAGTTACGTGTCTCAACAATTTACCTGAGTGAAAACAGCCTAGAATGTATACTTGCCTGTCCTTGAAATGACCGTGGCACTGGGACCTTCACAGTTGTGCCACATACCCCACAGTCTATGGTCAAGATACAACTAGCCCTAAAGTTTAGGCAACAGGATTCCTTCTGGACCTGGAAAGCGTTGTCCAGGCATCCATAACTGACAGTGCATACACTGCCAAGCCTCTGGATGATGGAAATGCAGTTCCATCTACAAAACACTTAATTGATGAACAAGACAATCTGGCGGCGCGCATGGACGCAGCGGCCACTTCAGGAGACAACGAAAGTGAACGCTTTGAGTGTCTTGTCTATCCCAGACGTTCATTCTACAAAACTTGCGGCCAGGAGACTTTGCCGAACATCAGGACAGTGAACGGTGCTGGAATTGCGGCGATCGGTTGTGATTTGGACATACTACACCAACAGGGAGTCCGATCGGAGACTACGCCAGCAGTTACCCGAGAGAGATGAAAGCGCAAACGGTATGAATGTAAACAAAGGAAAAGGAAGAGTGCTGGGATCCATGGTAAAGGCTAACCCCTCCAGACCAGCAGTACCGCCGCTCCTACTCTCCAATGTCCAACCCCTCAACAAGCTGGATGTGCTACGTTTGCTGAGAGAAACCCGCAGAGTGTGGAAGGACTGCTGTGGGTTTGCTTTAACAGAAACATTTTATACATCCCATGTCTGTGAAACCTTCTGTTTTCTTCCACCTCTTACAGGAAGTACTCACGGCTTGAACCATCTTTTTTGACACTGCCTGTTTCTGGAGTCTGATTTGCTGGTTGTTTGTCTGCCTACTTAGTTCTGCATCCTTCTGAGAATCCTTTCTACAATTCTATTGAAAATGTGCTACTAAATTTTACACAATGGCTTTTGTGTTATGCTTCTGAGTCCTTGAACTGAACTGTGACAGTATTATCTGTCCAACACGGACACAGCAGACAGAGTGAAGTACAAGGTGGTGGGAACCATCCTGGAGAAACCGCATGAAGAGCACCACCAGGTCTTACAGTATGAACTCAGTGTAACAGGAGTCAGGGCACCTTTCATTACTATGAGTCAAATCGTTTTCTTTTTTTCCAGTAAATGTAGAAGAACTAAGACAAACTAAGCTTTTGCTGGTCACAGTTAGAAGCTCAGAGTGCTCAGTGAACTTCGTTAAATCCAAAACAGTAAAATAAGATTCGTCTCACCCTTCCTAGTCTTACGAGAGACACAATTACCTTGTTTATTGTGTAGCGATGTTGGGAAGATGCTGAAGAAATTCTCTGTTAATACCATCTTGCTGATATATAAAAAAGTTTATTCATACAAGTACAATATCTCAGATGTCCATGAGAGGATTCGAAGCCAAAAAGAATCAGAATAAACATAACCACTGACTGAAATAGGGGAGTTGTTTTTGTTGAAGGAAGAACCAATAAGTCAAACCATATGGGTTACCCTCCAACATCTAGGCTATGAGGCAATTTCCTTCAGTAATCTTTGACTTGTTACTGTGTCAAAACATTCCAAACCTGTGGGGTTAGTATGTCAGATATTACATATTTCCCCCCTTTGAGTCTATGTAGAGTCTCGAAGAATAAAAAGTAAAATATATTTTACAAGTATGATAAAATAACAGTTCCTCCAGTATATGCGTACTATAGCATAATCTTAACATTACAACAAATTTATGGAGTGTGGGAGCGAAAAACCCGTCAAGCAACCATCATACCTGAAATTTCCATCTAACAATCTAATCGGGAAAATTCTCTCACGGTTCCTCTGCCCGAGGCAACCACATATGGTACTCCAGTCCAATTAGAAAGAGGAGGCATTTCCTTTAAACATTTATATGACAATATACTTTAAACAAATACATATAGAAACCTCAGAAAATAAAATCAAACAAAGTCCAAATTCAGGCTGGTTGACCCATCGCACCTTCCAGTGGACCTATCCCTGCCTAGCCCCAACATCCCTAGACACCAAAAAAGAAATAAACATCTGAGGTTCCTCTGTATTTACCCCACAACAGAAAACAGAATTCTCCAAGAAAATGTTAAAGTTAAATATTATACAGGAATAAAATATAATAAAACAAAAGCCAGTAAAA